GATTGGTTCAAAATTGGGAAAGGAGTATGACAAGGCTGTATATTGTCCACCTGCTTATTTAACTTATATGCAGAATACATCATGCGAAAGTCAGGACTGGAGGAATCCCAAGCCGGAATTAAGATTGCTGGAAGAAATCTCAACAACCTCCGATATGCAGATGGTACTACTCTGATGGCAGAAAGTGAGGAGGAATTAAGGAACCTTGTAATGAGGGTGAAAGAGGAGAGTGCAAAAAATGGTCTGAAGCTCAACATCAAAAAAACTAATATCATGGACACTGGTCCCATCACCTCCTGGCAAATCGAAGGGGAAAATATGGAGGATGTGACAGATTTTACTTTCTTGGGCTCCATGATCACTGCAGATGGAGACAGCAGCCATGAAATTAAAAGACGCTTGCTTCTTGGGAGGAAAGCGATGACAAATCTTGACAGCATCTTAAAAAGCAGAGACATCACCTTGCCAACAAAAGTCTGCATAGTGAAAGCTATGGTTTTCCCAGTAGCAATGTACGGAAGTGAGAGCTAGACCATAAAGATGTCTGACCGCCGAAGAATCGATGCTTTTCAACTGTGGTGCTGGAAGAGATTCTTGAGAGTCCCATGGACTGCAAAGAGAACAAACTTATCAATTCTGAAGGAAATCAACCCTGAGTGCTCACTGGAAGGACAGATCCTGAAGCTGAGGCTCCAAGCTTTGGCCATCTCATGAGAAGAGAAGATTCCCTGGAAAAGACCCTGATGTTAGGAAAGTATGAAGGCAAGAGGAGAAAGGAACGACAGGAGATGGATGGACAGTGTCATTGAAGCTACCAACGTGAATTTGACCCAACTCCGGGAGGCAGTGGAAGACGGGAGGGCCTGGCGTGCTCTGGTCCATGGGGTCACGAAGAGTCGGACACGACTTAATGACAACAAAATGCATCAAAATTGGGAAACGTGTATTGTGGCAAACTAATGCTCTGAGGAGGTTTTGTTATTGTTGTTTAGAAGATGTCAAAGTAATAGTGTCTGTAAAGATATGGATTTGCCCAAACCTATTACTTTCAGAACACAGGATGCAACTTTAAACAGAGTCAGATTATAATTAGGTATTCACATCTCAGGCCGTACACACAGATGCACACCTCTATATGCTCCCATCCCCCCTGCAATCTCCATTGAGTTTGCAGGCTGAAATCCTGTTAAAACTGAGCAAGCAAGATGACATCATCATCCCATGACAGTAATATTTAATTTAACTGAAAGCTTCCTAAACCCCCTCCCTTCATTTCAGATCCTGAGGCTCCCCAGGGATCCTTTTCAACTGGGGGATGTCTTTGATAGCCTTGAGACAGGGAGATATAAAATCATAGAATAATTGCGTTAGAAGGGGCCTATAAGGCCCCCGAGTCAAATAGCCTGCTCAATGCAGGAATCCAAATCCAAAGGAACGAAGCCTTTAATATTATAAAACCACCACTGGATTTCACCCATTGTTTATTCCTCTTGTTTTACATGCTGTCAGGTCAGAACTGACTTTTAGTGATTCTAACTGGAATTTCAAGATGATATATTTAAGAAGTGGTTTTACCAGTTACATCCCTTGCATTATGTTTCTATGGCCAAATGGGGATTTGAACCCAGGCATAATGGCATTCCATGTCTAATCACGCTGGCCACGTGACCACGGAAACTGTCTACGGACAAATGTTGGCTCTATGGCTTGGAAACAGGGATGAGCACCGCACCCTAGAGTCGGACACGACTGGACTAAATGTCAAGGGTAACCTTTACCTTTACTATCTGAGTCCTAGTCCATCACTCTGTCCACCATACCATGCTAGATATCCTTTATTCCTATTAGTAAAAGATAAGATAGCAACTTTGGAAACCAACTAATATTTGCTTTTTTCCACAGGCTTCTGCAATTGCACAGGCAACTGTCATAGGTCTGCACTCTAATACAAAATAGTTGTTGTTTTTGTTTTGTCGTTTAGTCGTGTCCAACTCTTCGTGACCCCATGGACCAGAGCACTCCAGGCCCCCCTCCTGTCTTCCACTGCCTCCTGGAGTTGGGTCAAATTCATGTTGGACACAAAATAGTAGTTGGTTACAAAGGGAAGAAAAGCTTCCACTTTCCTCCCTGCTGAAGAAATAAAACAGAGGGAAGCACAGGATGTTATGGTTTCATTCATGGAATGATAAATTCTACTACATCTGAATGACTTCAATGGAAGTTCCGAAAAGAACAACGAGTGTAGATGGATCGAAAAGATACATTAATGTGCCTTCCAGTTTGTGCAGATGAGGGAAACTGGCATCTGTACATTTGACAATAGTGTATACAATGGCTGGTATTTGTGGATTGACTTCATAAATCCCATGACCTTCATGGGGCATTTAAGCAGCTTAACTGAAGACAGGATTACAACCTAAAGCCATTTTCTGTACACAGCTAGACCTATATTCTTGGGGGGAGGAGCCATTGAGTACGCAGTACCACATATTTTGCAAGCAGATAGAGTCAAAGGCTCAATCCCCGGCATTTCCATTAAAACAAATAAATAAACAAGAAGACCTGAGAGCAAATAAGATTTTTCCTGCTTAAAACTAAGGAGAGCCGCTGGAACGAGCCAGATACAAAAATACTAGATTATACATACAAATGCTCTGACTCAGTATAAGGTTCCTATGTGATACTGCTAGAGAATAAATTATTTAGTAAAAGTAACTGACACAATCACATTTGAGCGTACAATTTTCATTTCTTGAGCAACAGAGGGAAAGGAATTAAGTCCGGTTTTTTCTTCTACATGAAACTATGTGCATTGTCTGAAACATAAATGAGTACGTTGCTGATGAACGTAACAGCTTTGCAACTGACCTGGGCTAAACCTTCACTGGGCTCCTCATGTATAATGCATGCCTCTATTGTCACAATAAGCTTCGGCAGGAGCTATGGCAAGGCTCTCGTACAGAAAATCCATGCTGGGGAATGTTCTGTGACATATTTTGCAGAAAGGCTAGGCAGAGCTGGGGAAAGTTTCTTTCTTACCTACAACTTCCCAAAATTCAACAAAAACATTTTCCAGTGGCTGCTGCCAGGCTGTGAAATTCTCTCCCAAAGGATGGCAAGTTTTGCAGGCAGAGATTGTTCTGTTCAGCTAGGCATTTCAAAACTGAGCGCTACCAAAGAGCCTTAATGAGGGATGCTGCATTTTT